TACCGGACCGGGGACCGGCAACGGGATTGCAACCCTCAGTGCTGCTCCCGCGCCTCGCTCAGCCAGTGAGCAGGAACCGGTCCGTATGTGAGATCTGAACCCTCGGGCAGGAGCGCCGCCGCACTTCCCAAGCGGCGCACTATCCAGTGCGCCACCGGGCCGGCCCCTTTATCATGCTGTTTCTATCAACAGGATATAAGCTCTATGAGGGCAGAGCAATTTTTTATCTGAGTTTCTTTTTTTTTTTTTTTGGCAGCTGGCTGGTAGAGGGATCCTAACCCTTAACCTTGGTGGCAACACTGTGTTCTAACCAACTGGGCTAACCAACCAGCCTATCTGAGTTTCTTGTATCCCTGGTGCCTAGAACAGTGTCTAGTAGTCTGGTATTACTGAATGTATGTGTGCATGTACGAATGGTGTTTATTGCAGTTGTAAGTTTACTTACTTGCTGTCTGGCTTTCCCCAATGATCTGGGAATGTTAGCAAAGCAGAAATATCATTTTCTTCACTATTCTACAGCCACTGCTTAGCACAGTGCCTACCAACAACAACATTCATTTGTGAATCAATGAATACTAGTAATGCTTTGCCTGTGTATTGCAGCTTAGTTTGTAAAGTACTTCCTTGTATATTACTTCATTTGATTTTTGCAATCATATATTGGCAAGACAGCCATGTCTTTAAACAAGAATACTAAGTGTAGGGACCTTTAAAGTCATTATATTGAAAGTGTTCTGGTAAATTGGTAGTCAGAACTAGACCTGACCTTCCTACTCAAAGTTCACTGCATTTCGCATTATATCAGAGGACTGCTTCATAAAGATTTATTATGCAGATAAGTATTTCAACTACCTGTGTTACTAGTATCCTTTTTTGTATTGTCACTAACTGATTATTTCTGGAATTGTATGTAATGGAAACAAATCCTGTTTTATGTGCATATGTGCCTAAGAAGAGTGAGAGTTGAAAAATGTGGTTTAAAATAATCTACCGTTTTGTGCTAAATGAAGGTATGAGCTACTGACATGTAATTACCTCAAAAACCATCTTGCGGCTTTGCTTATCTTGTTGCTCATCTTGGAGGACCACATGAAGAGAAGTGGAAAAAAATGAGAGAGACCTGCGGCAATGTGCTTAATACTGATGTAGTTTTCCTTTTCTTGACTTAATAATTTTTAGTCCCCTAAGGAGTCCAGGATAAATGACAACATGCTTTGCTTTGACAGTTGTATTCATAGCAGCCAGATTCATGGGAACTTTAGAGATTATTGAAAAATCTGCCTGTATTTTGGCTCAAGGGTCCATTCAAAAAAAGCAGACATCTCCATAAAGTAGATTACTGTTTTTCACGTCTTGCAAGTCAGGATACATAAAAGAGTACTTTGACCTGCTACAGGGCTCCAGTTCAACTGAATTTTAAGTAGAACTCAGGTTTCCTTTTGTGCCATTCCACCTTCCACTGGGATCTGACTTAAACTATGTCTTAGTACTTGGATCATTCCTATTTTAAGGACTAGGTTATACAAAATGTTGAAGTGAGATGATTTGTATTATTCTAAGATTCATTTGTTGTGCTAGATCTCCAACTTGCGGCTGAGCTTGGGAAGACATTACTGGATCGGAACACAGAATTGGAGGAGTCTCTTCAGCAGATGTACACAACCAATCAGGAGCAGTTACAGGAAATTGAGGTAATTAACTCAGCAGGAGAGTTACACTTTGAGGTGTGTCATGTTGTTGTACCAGTCATATGCTGCTAAAATAACACTTGCAATTAGAAGCAGTGTTTAATTTCAAATGCAGTCTTTTTAAGAATATGAATCATCAGATGTGAAGAGGTTGATTTCTACTTTCTTTAGGCTTTTCCATCATATAAGTCTGCTATGATGAAAGAGATTTCAGGGCCGGCCCATGGCTCACTTGGAAGAGCGTGGTGCTGACAACACCAAGTCAAGGGTTAAGATCCCCTTACCGATCATCTTTTTTTTTTAAAAAAAAAAAAGAGATTTCTATTTCTCTCTTCACCCTTGGTGAAGTGTGCTAGAATTAAATGTTCCAGTGTTTGCCAGTATGTGAAGCAAAATGAAGCTGTGAATATTAGACTTTAGTTTTTTGGCTTTTTTTCTTTAAAAAAAATTAAATATGCAATATTTAAGATATACAGAAAGGTATAAAAAAAATGCAATGAACACCCATGTACCCACCACCCAGCTTAAGAAAGAAAACTAGCCACACTGTTGAAGCTCCTCGTGTGCCCCCTCCTTGGTGGCTTTTCCCTCCCTCTCACTACCAAACAGCATCCTAAATTTGGGTTTAGATAAAAAGGAAAAAAATCATAGTACCTGATTCCATAATGTGTGCCATTCAAAGAATTAATCATAATATACATGTTTTTTCCTCCCTGCTGTAATCTTAATTTATTTACATTTTTCTATATTTTTTCATTAAAATATTACTTTTTGCCTAGTTTAACAAACTAAAATGAAAGATGCTAGACTAAGGCTTTAAAATGGAAGTTGCTGCTATCTTATAAATGGTCCCATTCAAGTAGCCCAGTTATATGTAGGTCACTTGACTATAAAGAAGATAATTGTGATATCACCCAGACAATTGTCCCATCAGAACACCTTTCTCCATGCCTCAGTACCACCCCTGCCCCCCAAAAAAGCTTTACACTTAACTTACAAACTCCTCCCCCTCAAATTGGTGCAGAAGACCCAGGACTTTTGTGTCTATGCACAGAAAAATGTAGAAAACCCTGGAACAGTGAAGCAGCTCCTCATGAACAGCACTTAAGCTTTAATTATTTGCTAAACCAGGTGCTGGGAATGCACAGAAGTGGAATTACAGTCTTTGCCTTTAAAACAGTAGCATCACATACATTTCAACTTCTGAATACAAGTAAACCTGTCATCAAAACTAAAGCAAATTTATAATCTCAGTAGCCGTTAATTTTATGTAGTAGCCAAAGCGAAGACGTATATAATAGGCCCTTCCCTTCAGCAGGATTTATGAGTACAGCCAATGGTGTGACTGAAATATACTTTTGTGGTTCTAGGGAAGGCATAGTTTGTAATGATATTTAACCCACCAGAGATCACTTTTAGCACATTCTTCATCAAAAGAGCATAGAGTATGATGTACCCTAAATTGAATTTAATGACTTGTAAAATTTGCCAAAAACCTAAAAATGCAGAAAAAACATGCATTTTGAAACTAGCCAAATATTATATATGGTCAAGGAACTCTTTCCTGCTTTGTTTCTTAGGCTTTGTTTTTCAATTCATTGGAAGATTTCATAGAGCAGTACTCATATACTGTGAGGCGTATTTATTTGTACTTGGGTAGAAACACAGTCTTAGGACATTGTATGTATGTTTCCTATGAAAGCATCTATAAAACCCTATAACTGATACTTAGGTTAGCATATCTTTCAAGAATAGGTGAAAGAAGTCCAAATATTTGCATAATTAGGAGAATGATGCCTCTTGGTGTAAAAGGTTATACGCACAGTTGCTATGTGTTCTAAGTTGTTGTCTTTCTGCCTTTGTGTTCCTTTCTTTGGTATCAAGGCTGATGAGACAGTTAAGACAGATCATTGACATTCTGGTATAATCCAAAGATCTTTAAGATTCTCCAAATCTACAAATAATGTTCCACCATAAGATCTTGCAAAGCATAATGGAAATAAAGTATCCAGCTCAGGCCTCAATGATTAAATAAGTGTAAAATTAAATACATGTACAAAACTATTTAAATTTAGCATGGAGTGCTTCCAGGAACATTTTTATGAGTCTCTTGTTTTTATAGTAGAGCATGTGGCCCACTGGTTCATAGATCCAGGCGTTACAGAGAGCATATTTTACTCTCTTTTGACTAAGAACAATCACTGTCTTAGATTTCTTCTCTACTGTTACAGTTGGCTTTCTTCTTTCTTTTTATAAATTGCTTTCTGAAAGTAAACAGGGTTGGGCTGAGCGGGGAGATGAGATGGCAGTATGGCTAAGCCCACTTACCAGCCACATCCCACAGACCAGCCTTTCTGCCTTCTCGTTCACTGATATGTACCTGTCCAGACTTACAGATCACAGCATGGACTTCCGAGGTCTTTCTCCAGTAGTCTAAAACAAAGACTCCCTGATGTTCTTGTAGAAGTAAGCAGGCAGCCAAAGAGCCTGATCTCTACTGAAGACCCTTGCATTATGTACCTCTGGTTATTGCAGCCTTTAGGAGCCCACTAAACTTTATAGTCTCAGTATAAACCTTCTGTTAGTTTTTTTCTCTCTCTCTTTATGTAAAACTTTATTGAAATATACATACAGAAAAGAGCACAAATCCTAAATGTGTAATTTGACGAATTTTCATAAAGTAAACGTACCCACACAACTAGCACCCAGATAAGGTGTGACAACACTCTCAGCCTGTGCAGTTGCCTCCGCACTAACCAGCACTCCGACTCCCACACCCTAGATTCACGTGGCTTGTTTTTGAACTTTACACAAGTGGACTCACTTGTACACGTGTCTCCCCCACCCGGCAGCTGGCCAGCGCAGGGATCCAAGCCCTCGACTGTGGTGGGCTTGTGCACATTTCTTTGTTAGAAAAGTAATATATGGTCATTTTTTTAATTTAGAAAAATATAGTTGAAAACCAAAAAATCAGCTCTTATCCCACTACTCACAGAAGTTTAAAATGAGACAGTCCAGGAAAATGGTCTGTGAAAATGATCAGAATGGATGAAGAACAGTGAGTACAGAACTGGAGAAAATATTAGGATAAGATCCCCACTGACACTTCAGAAACAAGAGGGGAAAAAAAGATCCCCCAAAATCTGATTTAGAAATCGGAGATTGTTGGAAATAGACAATTAGGAAACTGCTAAAGGATGTTTTCTTAGAACCATAAGTATTCTTTCAGACTATTAGTAGCTATCAAACAATCCTTATAAAAATTGGTCAGGTAGGCATCGTTTTTGATGTTAAAAAATAAGGTTAAATAAGCTATTGAAAATAATGGTTCCACTGGCTTCGGAGAACCCTGTAGCCTCTAACTTTTATTCAGTGCTAATTTGGACATCTTAACTTTGAGTCCAGAGCAAGTTTTTCTCTCCCAGATGGGGCCAGTATGGGGGCGGTGGGGGGAGGGGTGTGTGGAGAGAAGCTCTGGAGAGTAGTGAGATCTGACACCATCAGACACATTGGGTTCACTTACACTTTCCTGGAATGGTGTAAGCAACTACAGCCTTGGGTTTTTGTTACTTCTCTGCCTGGGGCACCTGCATTACCCCCCACAGGAGCTGTGCCTACCACTCACAGTAGTCTGGCCTTGGAGGAGTCCCTTCTTTTAAGAGTTTATGACTCCTCAAGTATTTTGTGCTGCTTTTACTGCACTTATCAATATCCTACTGCAAATTATAGTTATTTCATATTTGTTTTATTCCACCCTTCCCTCATTTCCCATTGCAAGATTGAGAGCCATTGCTGTGTTTATTCATTGTCTTTTGCACATAGTAGGTTATCTATAAGTCCTTGTTGAAATCATTTTCTTAACAGGAGATAAATAAACAGTTTACAGAGCTTTTCTAATAATTCCTAAACCATGATTTTCCACCTATGATGATTTTTAAAGGAGGTAGAAGAAGCTCTGGCCTCTGGGTTAGGATTCAGGTATAAGCCCTCAATTTTATTTGTCAATAGCTAGAGAATTTAGGCATGTGAATTACCTCTCAGATCCTGTTGCTGCATTATGGAATGGTGGTAAGGATGGTTGCACTACATTGGTACAGGGTTGTGCTGAGGGGATGAGATTATGGAAGTATATAGATTTTGAATGGTATAAATTGTTGCATGATTTATTTACCCACATTTTAAGAATTTCAGTAATGAAAGAATCTTAACTCTGAAAAAACAAAATCCTCTTGAATTACTGGAAAGTAGATCTTAACAAGTCAAACTTTTAATAATGGGATTATAGGTGGTTTTTATTTTCATATGCATGCACCCCTCTCCAAATTTCCTACAGGGGAAATATATTACTTTAATCAGGGGAAAGCGGTTTTTCAAAGGTAATGGGGAAATATTTCTTCACTATTGTGGAAGGTCATTGTGACAATAAATTCAAAAGATTTGAGCTATAATCCTTAATTTAAGGATAATCCCAACACTGCTTACAAGCCAGATTTCCATTCCATTCCTTATGTGTTTTCAGTTTTGTTTGTGTCCTTTCCTGCATCCTAGGTTAGGGCTCTACAATTATAAATAGGTGTTAATGTATTCCTGCTGGCCTTTGTTTTCCAGAGGTTTCCCTCAGTCACAAAGGTGGCCTTTTTATAGCTTTTGTGCATAACCTGAACCTTGTACTCATAGCTGAGATGTAGTTCTATGCAAATTCGTAGGCAGTGAGATAACCCAGGGGACTTAAACTTTGTTCAGATCTCTTGCTATAAGCTGACATTTTTGCCTACATTTCTGTACTCTCCATGTCTCCCTTCCGCCACTGTTTTGCTTAAAATTTCTCCCTTTCCCCTGTTTATTTTTTGTTTTGGTTTGGTTTTTTGGTGGCTGGCTGGTGCAGGGATTCAAACCCTTGACCTCCCCTGTTTAATATGGCAGTCAGATTCATTTGGGGCTGTATATCAAAGATTCTGAACTGAGAAAACTAGAACATCGGAAGCATAGCTGTCCCTTGAGAT